TCCTTAAGATATCAGCACAATAACACACTCAGCAAAATATTGTCTAATTATCTTCATCAATAAAATACCAGAAAATATTGAGATATTATTTTTTGTCAGTATCGCACACCCTTAGTACTGACACAAAATGATTAGCAACAGTCACTTTGTCATGTAGACAGCCTCAAGCTGTTGGTTTATTTCGTTGTTGTTGTTTTTTTTTTGGCTAGTAGAAGTTATGAATGACCGGTAACGCGTACCGTACTGAGCCGTACCGAGCCGAGTCGTACCACGCAGTGGAAAAGTGCCACATGTAAATGTGTCTGTGTACTTTCTCTAAAAGTGTTTGACATGTGTCTTCTGTTTCATTTACAGTAATTGGTGAGTCAGTTTACACCTGGTACCAGTTGTACAGCTCTGGACAGTTGTGAATACAGCGTGTACTGTACACACCATATTCAATATAACTTCATACTCATAGCAGAGCACTATCTACAGTTGAGTCTGAAATCACACATTATCAGTGACATGTAGCATTCATTACATAGTGAATACTGTATACGTGAACGAATGAGCAGTTTCAGACCGTATAAGCATGAAATTGAAAAAAAAAACAGTGTTTGTATGTGCCTTGTTCTCTTGTGTAAATTAGTACAGTAATAATGGATCTTTAAATCATTTTTAGTGTAATAATACAATACACTTTTTGTATTTTCAATAAAATGTTATGTTAAATAGAGAAAGGGTCCACTTACAATGTGTAGTTTGAGATAGTCACCTAACCCAGAGGAGCTGTTCACTCGCACCAGTAGAGCTTCTTTCAGATGAGTACTGAATCCCACCGCCAGCCGATCTGCTCGTGTGCTTGGCCGGTCGTTTGGTGGCCATGTGTATGTGATCAGACCACCGTCTCTCGCAAATATAAATGTGGTGCCTGCTGCAGGAGACACAGATGTGCAAACAAACAGAGATAGTTTAGTCAATTTATTTAATTTATATATGAAAAAAACCTTATATAGCATTAAACAGACAAAGAGATTGATAGATAGATAGAATGCATTAAAGGAAGTCGTTTTTATATAAACAGCTGTTAGATTATGTTCTTCTCCTCAGCATCTGTTCTGAGCAGTAAGTAGTAAATTATTCTTTGTTGAATGCATTTCAGTGAGCAGCAGGAATCTATAGAATAAAGCTCTTTAATCTCCATTTCTATCTCTATTTTCTTGACCAGGATTTAGTTTATTTAGAGGTAAATATCACTATTCAACATTTCATGTTTAAAATATCAAAAAATTATTTATGCATTTGTAACTGCAGGTTAACGCATCCCATGTCCCTCTAAGCTGCATTAACATGTGTAAATACATCTAAATGCCATTTCATATGCAACTTCTGCAAAGATGAATTTTATTGATACTAATTTCATTTGTTTAGTAACAGTCTAAATGTAGTATTGTTATAATTGCCTGATTAAATGTAAGAATTTGACTTAAAAAATTATGCACACTTTTAGTAAAAATTTATTTATAAAGGTAAAAATGCCCATAAAAGGTAAAAATCAATCTAAACTTATTGGAAAATATTAATTTCTATCACCGCTGTGAACTGACCACACAGAATATGAAGAATATCAAAAACTTTAGGAGTCAGCTGTCCACGGTATCCTTAAGATATCAGCACAATAACACACTCAGCAAAATATTGTCTAATTATCTTCATCAATAAAATACCAGAAAATATTGAGATATTATTTTTTGTCAGTATCGCACACCCTTAGTACTGACACAAAATGATTTGCAACAGTCACTTTGTCATGTAGACAGCCTCAAGCTGTTGGTTTATTTCGTTGTTTTTTTGTTTTTTTTTGTCTAGTACAAGTTATGAATGACCGGTAACGTAAAAATTGAGTAGCCAAATTGGCTGGTGAGTAAAAAAGTTAATTTCAATCCCTGGTCATATTTAATGTGTCTGTTCAGATGTGCTGCTCGTGTGTGGTGAGTCTGTACACTTCTGTGGCCACTGCTGCCATCTGATACACAGCAGATGTGAAACTCTCGAAACTCACATTCACCCGCAGGCCAGAGTTGACCTGACACAGCGCAACACTGCAGCACTAAAGACCCATGACACTTTCACATGTGCCCATGCAAGTCACTGTGTGTGACCGTTTGTGTGAATACTTTTTCCTACTTTACCAAGTTTGTAATGGCGCTTTTCCACTGCATGGTACGGCACGGTACGGCTCGGTACGGGTCACTTTTTGGGGGGTTTCCACTGGGGGACGGACCTGGGAACTGG